AGAATAGAACAGAATCCCTCTCTCTCCTAGCACTGGTGATGTAACATAGTTAGGTAAAGAAACGTCTGCAAGAAAACAGCCAAGCTCAGAGAGCATCAAGGACCCCCCCCCCATTTCAACCCTGAGCCACAAATATTGTATAGAATAGAACAGAACAGAACAGAATCTCTCTCCCTCCTAGCACTAGTGATGTAACCTAGTTGGGTAATGAAATGTTTGCAATAAAACAAACAAACTCATCGAGCACCAAACACACCCCACAATACAGTACAAGAATTCTTATTTGCAGCAAGCACGGCCTCCATTCCCTGGGAAAACAGAGGGTTGGAAAAGGACAGCTTCCGTTGAATTCCACTCTGGAACCTCAGCTTTCTTAGAAGGAGATAAAAGTGAGTGGGATAGTTGCGGCCAGTGATAACCAAGGCAAAGCTTCTATGTTGCAAGGAAGCTTATCATTGATTACAAAGCGATCAGTGCAGTTCCTGCTAGGCCAAACGCCAATAATAATAATAATAATAACAATAGTAATAACAACAACAACACAATTGGCATTGACAAATTCTCTATTAGTCAATTGCAAAAGGCGGCCTTACTAGGAACTGCTTCCATCCTACGACGATACCTGTAATACCATCAAACATCCACATCTGCCTATCCCAGGTCCTGGGTAAGGACTCGATAGGTAGACAAAATGCCAAATCCAGTCTGAACATCTGGCTAACTGTGCGATGATCGATAATATCAAAATTAATTATTCATCCTCATCCTCCAGTCATTCAAAGGGCAGATGATGCAAAGCAGCCAAAGAAGCAATAGATCCCATGTTCAGCTCATGCAAAGAAAACAGCTTATATCCTGCGACCACATCGGTAACTGCTATCACACCTGCCAATCTCAGGCCCTTGGGAAGAACTCGACAGGCAGACAAAAAAAAAAAAAAAATGCCAAATCCAGTCAGAACATCTGGCTAAATGCGCGAAGGACCAAGAATAAATAATCAAAACCATTGAAAATGCTAGCCGAACATCGTTCGGCATTGACACCACCCCGCTCGGTCAATTGCAATAGGCAGCTTTGCTTGAAACCGTTTACAACTGTTTGTAAACTGTGGGGCAACTCCAACCCCCCCCCTCCAAGCTTGATTTTTATGTGTGCGCCTTGCCCCCAAACTAGGGCTTATTTTGGGGGGGGGGTAGGGTTTATATTAGGCCAGTGGTTCTCAACCTTTCTAATGCCACGACCCCATAATACAGTTCCCCATGTTGTGGTGATCCCCAACCATTTATACATCACCGGGTGCCAGGGGTGTGGCCAAAGAAAAGGGGGAAAAATGGCGGACAGCCTTGTTTGGCGACCCCCGTGAAATGGTCGTTCGACCCCAAATGGGGTCCCGACCCACAGGTTGAGAACCACTGTATTAGGCCCACCCCAAAAAATCAAGCTAGGGCTTGTTTTCAGGGTAGGTCTTACTTTCGGGAAAACGCAGTCGGTTGGCAGGAGCTGAGGTGAGGACAGGAGCTCACCCCATCCTGTTGAGCTGGGGTCTTGAACCTGGCTGCCAGCTTTGCAGCTGACAAGGCCACCGCGCCACCCTTGGGAAGGATAGGTGGACAATTAGGCCAAATCTAGTCTGAACATCTGGCTGGCTGTGCCACCAAGCTTAATAATACATTTTCTGCCAGGCAAAAAACATCAAGTTCCATGGTACACGTCTCCAGTTAAAAGGATGCTCTCTCAACACGTCTTGAAAAGGACTTTTGATTCAGATTTTGGAAAGGTCCCAGAAACCGGAGTAGAACACTATTGTGCCTGGTAGATATCTGATCCTATCAAAGTCGGGTTCCTGTTTTCCATATGCATGAAATATTGAGTATTCTTTTCAAGGGGACAAAAGATCACACTTATTTTGGGGGGGGGACGGAGTTATTTTGCTTCTTGCAAGTTAATCTACGAAGCTGCAGCAGACGCTGAAACTTGTTTTTAACATATTGTAGGAATAATGAGTTTCTGATACGCTTCTTCCCAGCAACATTTTTCTTCTTTCGATCCCCACCTTCCTTGTGTTGTTTTTAAATATTCTTTTTTTAAAAAAAAAATACTTTAAGAAGGAGCCAGAGGAAGCATTCGGCGAAAACCATACATTATCAATCTGTGGGATTTTACACAGTTTTAATAAAGAGAAGTCAGCTGTTCCGCTCTAACAGGGGCCTCGGTGTTCTTTAAGGCTGCTGAACCAAGGAAAACTATCTCAAAATTAATCATTGGAAAAATCATTCTTGGAAAAGCTGGATTGGGTCAAACTAATCCAGTATGCCATTCTGAGGGATCCTTGGCGCTCTCTAAACTGGGGGGTTTCTTTGCAGACGTTTCGTAACCCAACTAGGGAACATCATCAGTGCTAGGAGGGAGGTTGCCCTCTATTTAGATACAAGCTCCTTTGAGCACTGGTGACGTTACCTTGTTGGGTAATGAGACGTCTGCAAGAAAACAGCCAAGATCAGAAAGCACCAAGGACCCCACAGTCGTCGTCGTCGTCGTCCTCCTCCTCCTCCTCCTCCTCCTCTCCCTTCTAGCATTGATAACTTTGGGTCATGAAATGTCTGCCACAAAACAAGCAAGCTCAGAGAGCAATAAAACCCCATAGTCCTCCTCCTCCTTCTCTTTGCAAACTCTTCTCCCTTCTAGCACTGATGATGTTACCTAGTTGGATAATGAAACGTCTGCAAGAAAATAACCAAGCTCAGAGAGCACTAAGGACCCCCATGGTCCTCCTCCTCGCAAACTCCTCTCCCTTCTAGCACTGATGATGTTACCTAGTTGGGTCATGAAACATCTGCAAGCAAGCAAGCAAGCCCAGAGAGCAATAAAGAGCCCAAAGTACTCGTCCTCCCCCTCCTCTTCCTCCTCCCCTTTTCCTTCTCCACAACCCCACTTCCGTTGTCATTTCCTCACTGCAAATCCCACTCCCTTCTAATGATGTTACCAAGTTTGGTCCATGAAACAGCTGCAAGAAAACAACCAAATTGAGACAGCATTAAGGACCCCATTGTTGTTGTTGTCCTCCTCCTCCTCCTCTTCCTCCTTCCCTTCCTCTTCTAATCTTCCTCCTCCCCTCCACCAACCCTACTCCCTTCTAGCACTGATAATGTTGCCTAGTGGGGTCATGAGACACCTACAAGAAAAGCAGCCCACTCAGAAAGCACCAGGGACCCCCCATTTCAGCCCTGAGCTACACATATTCTCCTTTATTAACATATCAGTCTGGACAGCTGGACCTTTGCTGTTTGGATATCCAGGTGGCTCTGGCATTCTGTTCCCCCAGGAAATCTGCATTTTGGGGGGGAAAGTCCCAAAGATTCAAAAAGTGGAGCTGACTTTTCACAGTTCACCCATAGGAACTTTTTAAGGCAGACACCAGGACGAAGCAAGTGTTGCTTACTTGAAGGATCACTCACAAGAAAGATACATTTCGGTTTGGAGAAGATGGATAAATTATATCCAGAATAAATATGGGACTAAAAAGTTTCATTTAGCCTATGAGTGAATTTTAGAGTATTATTATGATATTATTATTATTTTTAGTATTAGTATTGTTTAACACAGTGGTTCTCAACCTTTTTAATGCCGCGACCCCCAACCGGTCGTAAGTCGAGGACTACTCAACCGGTCGTAAGTCGAGGACTACTCAACTGGTGCAGCACCGTTTGCAGAATGGGACTTTTGGCGGGCTCAGCAGGGCAGAGACAGCCTGGACAATTCCTATTGGCTTTTGAAAGCCAATAGAATTAGACTCTATTCAAGAGAGTCTATTCTATTGGCTTTCAAAAGCCAATAGAATAAAAGGGAGTAGCACAGCTAAGGAAAAGGGGGAAAAAATGGCGGACTGCGTTGTTTGGCGACCCCTGTGAAATGGTCGTTCGACCCCAAATGGGCTCCCGACCCACAGGTTGAGAACCACTGGTCTAACAATTTGGAGATTGTATTGTTTAATAATTAGGATATTATTATTATTATTATTATTATTATTATGTTTATTTTCAATTTGTTTATATTTATGTTCAAGGGGAGTTAAAGTGCATTATGGACTTGGTTATTTATATAGTTGGTTAATGTTAGTTAGATTATGATTATCATATTTGTAACCCTGTACTCAGCTCTGGGAAGTTGGGGAGGGGGGGGGGTTGGGTGGGTTATATTGTAATTTTTATAAAACTTTTTAATTAAAAAAAAAAGTGTTCACACTGGACCTGTTTTACAATTTATAATGTTCTGCTACTTACGACCAGTAGCTTAGTAACCATTATGAGACACCTCCCCGCAGATTCTGACAACCCTGTTCCCTGCGATCACGTGACCACACTTGGGCAATTGACAACCGGCCTGCGTTTATGGCTGCTCACGGCTGTTCCCGCAGAGCCACGACTGCGTTTTACGTCAGTTTTGCCGAAAACCGGCGTTTGCTTTTCGGCAACACCAAGCCCAGTATCAAACCACTGCTTCATTTAATAGCCACAGTGGTTGCTTTACAACCATCGCAAAAAAACAAAATGGTTGTCACATCTGGTGGATCCACCCGGGTAAGCTTATTTATGACCGTCACGGCTAATGACCAAGATGGGCCGGCTCCATTATGGTTGCAAGTTGAGGACTACCTGTATTTTTTTTTTTTTAAACTTAGGAAAAAAATGGATCGTTGTCTTCCACCGAGATAAATTCCGATTTTTGCCTCCTGTTCACACATTGAACACACAGAGAACGAGAGATTGCTGAAAGAGGAAGCGGTTTAGTTTATGGTAAAGGTGGCAGAGAAACCCCGTTTTAACGGATCGGTTCTTTCGGCCGTCGGCAAACGAGGATGGGTGGATGTCCAGGATCTCAGCTGGCCAAGATCAGAGCGTTCTTCCCATCAATTCTGTGCCTTTAAAAGCAGAAGGGTCAAATTCTACCAAACCTTCACCCCAAAGGCTCTTGGTGAAAAGCAAAATATAAAACTCCCTCACCCTCTCTTCCAGGTGGTTCAGCTGCTCCTTGTAGTAAGTCTCCCGTTTCTTCAGCTCTTTTTCCTTTCCCTCAAGCTGCTTGGCCTGAAAAGAACGAAACAAAACAAAAGCAGAGAGAGAGAGAAAGAGAAAAAGAAAGAGAAAGAGAGAGAGAGAGAGAGAAAGAAAGAGAAAAAGAGAGAGAGAGAGAGAGAGAGAGAAAGAGAAAAAGAAAGAGAGAGAGAGAAAGAGAAAGAGAAAGAAAGAGAAAGAGAAAGAGAAAGAGAGAAAGAAAGAGAAAGAGAGAGAGAAAGAAAGAGAGAGAGAGAAAGAGAAAAAGAAAGAGAAAGAGAGAGAAAGAAAGAGAGAGAGAAAAAGAAAGAGAAAGAAAGAAAGAGAAAGAGAGAGAGAGGGGGAAAGAGAGAGAAAGAGAAAAAGAGAGAGAGAGAGAAAATATAGATGGACAACCAAGTTCCAGTAAAGTCAACATTTGCTATCAATTCTGCCCCCCAAAACATTTTTACGCAAAGATTGTAATCTGCAGTGTTCAAATAGTCCTCAACTTACAACAGTTTATTTAGTGACCGTTCAAAGTTACAATCGCACCGAAAAAAGTGACTTATGACCGGTTCTCACACTTATGACCAGTTCTCACACTTATGGCCATTGCAGCATTCCCCCTGGTCATATGATGGAAATTCAGACGCTTGGCAACTGGTTCGTATTTACGACGGTCGCAGTGTCCTGGGATCACGTGATCCCCTTTCGTGACCTTCTGACAAGCAAAGTCGATCTGGGGGGGGGGAGCCCGATTCACTTAACGACCGTGTGACTAACTTCACAGCCGGAACGATTCGCTTCAGAACTGTGGCAGGAAAGGTCATGAAATGCGACAAAGCTCACTTCACAAATGTTTCACTTAGCGACATAAATTTGGGGCTCAGTTGTGGTCCTAACTTCAAGGACTGCCCATATTCACATTATCGTGATAAGCAATTGACAAAAGAGTCGGTTATTGTTATTCAGTCGGCTCTTTTATGACTCCTGGACTTCAACTCCCAGAATTCCTGGCTGGCTGGGGCAGGGTTAGGCAACCTTGGCTCTTTTATGACTCCTGGACTTCAACTCCCAGAATTCCTGAGCCAGCCTGGCTCAGCTTGGAAACCTCTCCCTTTCCCCTCTGCATGGCTGGCTCAGGAATTCTGGGAGTTGAAGTCCACCAGTCATAAAAGAGCCAAGCTTGAACAACCCTACCCTAGAGCAAGGGTAGGCAACCTTGGCTCTTTTATGACTCGTGGACTTCAACTCCCAGAATTCCTGAGCCAGCATGAGGGAACTATGGCCCCCTCATGACTCGTGGACTTCAACTCCCAGAATTCCTGAGCCAGCCATGCTGAGGGGAAAGGGAGAGGTTTCCAAGCTGAGCCATGCTGGCTCAAGAATTCTGGGAGTTGAAGTCCACGAGTCATGAAAGGGCCAAGGTTGCCTAGCCTGGTCTAAGACAACTGGAAGGCTCAGTTTTTTAACTTAAGGTGTTTTTTTCCCCTGCCCCGTTGAACAAACCAGCTATTTAAATTCTTTGGATTTAAATCAATCCCCCCCAGCTTCTCTTCCTTGAATGATAACAACGGTGGTGATCAAAAACAGAGACTCCTTATCTCTGCTGGGCGGGTTTTTTAGCCAGCTATCTTCCCTGACATAAATTAAATTCAGTATAGTGAGCCTAGCTAAAATAGGTTTGAAAGTATAAGAGGGAAAAAAAAAACAACACATCCCTCATTTTGCTCACTAAATTAGGTTGGAGACAAAAGTCTCAGCAACTCAAGCTGTTGCCTGATTTGCATACAGGCAGTCCTCAACTTACAACAGTTCGTTTATCGACCGTTCAAAGTTACAACGGCGCTGGAAAAAGAGGGACCTATGATCATTTTCCACCCTTACGACCGTTGCACTGATCAAAATGTGGACGCTTGGGGACTGGTTCATATTTACGACGGTTGCTGTGTCCTGAGGTCATGTGTCCAGAGGTTCGTAAAGAACTGGACATGGCTAAGCGACGGAACAACAACCACAAAAATTCCATTTACTCTCAGGTCGACGTCTTACCTTGCACTCCATTTCCTGGAAGCATGGAAAAGCAGAACACAAAACCACAGGTTTATATGATAAATCAGGTAAAACAAAAGGCATTACACAAACAACACCTGAAGCAAACTCTCATAGTTAAGGCTACTCTGAGAAATTCGCCCCCCCCCCCAAATTGGGAGATTCTTGCTCAAAATCAAACTTAATCTCTGTATGCTAAAAAGGAAAGTCCTCCTGCATAATGGGCTTTGGTTGATTCTTTGGGACAGGGGGGGAAAATGGCAGGGGCAGAAATGTGCATCTATAACACAAAATAATAACTAAGAAAATTAATAATAATAATAATAACAACAACAACAACAACAACGAGGAAGAACTGGAGAAGATAACAAAATACAAAGACCTACAAATAGAAATAGAAAGACTGTGGCAAAAGCAAGCAAGGGTAGTACCAATAGTCATAGGCGCCTTGGGTGCAATCCCAAAACAACTGGAGCACCACTTGAACACCATCATCGGCATTGACAAATTCGCTATTAGTCAATTGCAAAAGGCGGCCTTACTAGGAACTGCTTCCATCCTGCGACGATACCTGTAATACCATCAAACATCCACATCTGCCTATCCCAGGTCCTGGGTAAGGACTCGATAGGTAGACAAAATGCCAAATCCAGTCTGAACATCTGGCTGACTATGCGATGATCAATAATAATAATAATAATAATTATGATGATGATGATGATGATGATAGAAGGGGAGGGGGAAGAGAAGGGGAGAAGGAGGGGAAGAGGGAGGAGGAGCAGGGGGGAGGGGGAGAACGGGGAAGAGGAAGAGGCAAAGGGGAGGAGGGGGAGGAGGAAACTGTGGGGTCCTTGGTGCTCTCTGAGCTTGCTTGTTTACTTGCAGACGTCTCATTACCCATCTAGGTAACACCATCAGTGTTAGAAGGGAGATGGCTTTCCTCTCTGTTTCTACTCAAGTGGCTTGCGCTATCAGCTCTGGCGGGAGTGCTGTTACGTTGCATGGAACCCATTTAGCAAATTCCACTCCTTTCTAGCACTGATGATGTTCCCTAGTTGGGTCATGAAACATCCGCAAGGACGCAAGCAAGCTTAGGGAGCACCCAGGACCCCCCACAGTCCTTTTCCTCCTCCTCCTCATCTCCGTAAACCCCCACACTCTTCTAGCACTGATGCTGTTACTTAGATGGGCGGTGAAATGTCTCAAAGAAAACCACCCAGCTCAGAGAGCACCAAGAACCCCACAGTCCATGCCTGGGCTACAAAGATTCTCCTGGGTGGATAATCGTCAAAAAAAAAAAAAAAAACCCACCATCCTCGGCCTCTACAGACTTCCCACTTAGCTATTAACACGAAGGCCGGCTTTCTCCTCAGTTCTTTGCCAAGAGGTAGCTACAGTTTTGAGAAGTCAGGCAAGTGGAAACGAGCTAAAAAAAATAAAATAAAATAAGGAAAAAATCACAAAGCTGCTGGAGCTTTCCATATTCAGCCTGCACGGGTTTTCATCGAAAAGAACAAAAAAACAGCAAATAAACGGACTCACAGTGGTGGAAGCAGCAAGGGGAAAGAGCAGGCTAAAGAGAAAAGGCAGATCGTTGAGAAACAGACCAAGAGGTTTGCAAGAAATCAAGCCAAGGTCCCACAGACCAGCATTCTGGGTCCAGAGGGTAGGAAAATACAGGCAGTCCTCGGTTTAACAACCAAAATTTCAGTTGCTAAGCAAGACGTTGAGTGAGTTTTGCCTCGTTTTACGACTTTTCTGGACACCGTTGTTGTAAGTGAGTCACGCTACAATGGTTCGCGGTGGTTAAATGAATCGGCCTTCCCCCCATTGACTCTGCTTGTCGGCATCCCACGACCCCACGATACTGCTGTGGGCAAAATCCAGAGAAAGACATATTGTGGGAAATATTAAAAAGGCAGAATACTATATTTCCCCAAAGGATTTTAAAGGCAGAAACCAACCCACCCGCCCCCACGAAAGTCTCTCTGCTCCAAACAGAAACCAGGTCTGCAGAAATGCAGAGGTGATCATCCTTTCAGAAAGACTGGAGCCAGGAAGCTTAGAGCTGATGGGATGAGAAAGACCAAGATCCCTAGAATCAACAATCCCTCACGCAAAAAAAAAAAAAAAAAAAAATCCAACACAGGACACAGCCATCAGCCCCAGCCCCAGGGAAGCAGGATAGGACCTTTTGGGACATAATAGGATCAACCCACCCCCATCAGAATACCGTCTCCTGGTGATTGGCCCAAAGTCACCCAGCTGTCTTTCATGCCTAGGGCGGGACTAGAATTCACTGTCTCCTGGTGATTGGCCCAAAGTCATCCAGCTGGCTTTTATGGCTAGGGCGGGACTAGAACTCACATTCTCCTGGTGATTGGCCCAAAGTCACCCATTCATTTAGTGACATCCCAAGAAAAATGAGTTTGGGGTTCAAATCTGGTCTGCCTCAAAGGGCTGGCACAAATCTTGCAACCTTCCGTGAGAAATCATTGCAACATTTACACGCAAACAGGCCAGCCGGGGAATTCACAGCTGACGGGCACATCGGCAAGGAAGCATTAGATTAATTTGGCTGCAAGACAGGGGTCCGATAAATATAAATTAGCCATAGCAAAATGACCGTGTATTCAATTAGTTGGACGTTGCCCTTTATTCGTAAATGAGAACGCTTACAAGGTTTACTTTCTCTCTCTCTCCCTTTTTTAATAAAATGTTTTTGGAAAACCCGCTGGGGGCCCTTGAAAAGGAAAGTTATTCTGCAATTCTCATGCACTCTTAAATTATATCAATGTTAAATTAAAAAAAATAGCAATAAAAAAGCTTGAAGATCTATGCCAATACTCTGTATGGTTCATCTTTGGCTTTAGCAGACGGTGTTTCTCTCTCTCCCTCTCCCTCCCTCCCCCCCCCTCTCTCTCTCTCTCTCTCTCTCTCTCTCCCCCGTCTCTCTTCTCCCTCTCTTCTGTCTATCTGTCTTCCTCTCCTCTCTCTGCTCTCTCTCTCCTCTGTCTTTATTTTCTCTCTCCTCTCTCTCTTCTCTCTCTCTCTCTTGTCTGTCTCTCTCCTCTCCCTCTTCTCTCTCTTCTGTCTCTTTCTCTCGTCTCTCTGCTCTCTCCTCTCCCTCTCTTCTTTCTGTCTCTCCCTCCTCTCTCTCTCCTCCCTCTTCTGTGCCTGTCTCTCTTCTCCCTTCCTCCCCTCTCTTTTCTGTCTCCTGTCTCTCTTTTCTCTCTTCTCTTTTTCTTTCTCCTCTCTCCCTCTCTCTCTCTTCTCTCTCTCTCTCTTCTGTCTGTCTCTCTCTCCTCCTCTCTTCTGTCTTCTGTCTGTCTTTCTCTCCTCTCCTCTCTGCTCTCTCCTCTCCTTCTCTTCTTTCTGTCCCTCTTTTCTCCCCTACCTCTCTTCTGTGTCTGTCTCTCTTCTCCCTTCCTCCCCCCTTCTGTCTCCTGTCCCTCTTTTCTCTCTTCTTTTTCTTTCTCCTCTCTCTCTCTTCTCTTTCTCTTCTGTCTGTCTCTCTCTCTCCTCTCCCTCTTCTCTGTCTTCTCTGTCTCTCCTCTCCCTCCCTCCCTCTCTTCTGTCTTTCTTTTGTCTCCTCTCTCTCTTTCTTTCTCCTCTCTCCCTCTCTTCTCTCTCTCTCTTCTGTCTTTCTCTCCTCTCTCTGTTCTTTCCTCTCCCTCCCTCCCTCTCTCTTCTCTCTTTATCTTTTCTCTTTCCTCTCTCCCTCTCTCTCTCTCTCTCTCGTCTGTCTGTCTCTCTCTCTCCTCTCCCTCTCTTCTCTCTCTTCTGTCTTGCCTCTCCCTCCCTCCCTCTCTCTTCTCTGTCTTTCTTTTCTGTCTCCTCTCTCTTTCTTTCTCTTTCTCCTCTCTCCCTCTCTTCTCTCTCTCTTCTGTCTGTCTTTCTCTCCTCTCTCTGATCTTTCCTCTCCCTCCCTCTCTCTCTTCTCTCTCTTCTCTCTTTCTGTCTTTTCTCTCCCTCTCTCTCTCTCTCGTCTGTCTGTCTCTCTCTCTCTCCTCTCCCTCTCTTCTCTCTCTTCTCTGTCTCTCCTCTCCCTCCCTCCCTCTCTCTTCTCTGTCTTTCTTTTCTGTCTCCTCTCTCTTTCTTTCTCTTTCTCCTCTCTCCCTCTTCTCTCTCTCTCTCTTCTGTCTGTCTTTCTCTCCTCTCTCTGATCTTTCCTCTCCCTCCCTCTCTCTCTTCTCTCTCTTCTCTCTTTCTCTCTCCTCTCTCTCTCTCTCTCTCTCTCTCTCTCTCTTCTGTCTGTCTCTCTCTCCTCTCTCTCTCTCTTCTCTCTGTCTCTTTCTCTCTCTGCACATGCCCAGTACATGTCTACTTCATCTCAGCAAAGGAATGTCAAGATATCTAAGCATTTAAAAATAAGTGTTTTTGAAGTGAAGATCTCTAGGGAATAATTAAAAAAAAAATTTAAAAAGCACTTAATACAAAGAAAGGGACAGATGTAATTTCCACCGATTCTAATTTGAAATCGGTTCCATTCGGCGCACGGAGTTAAACCCTACTGTGAAACATCCAACACAGGAACTCGGTCTATGCAAATACTTGATGTTACAAACCAGTATGGATCGATTTTGCACACTGAAAATCAATTGGACTTGCATCCGAATCAATTTACATGGATTTAGTTCTTTGTCCATGTTTTGAAGGGGGAAAAATCAATTCGAATAAGTAGGTTTCCATTTGGAAATTTCATCTGACTCAAGTCTTAATGTTTGGACAGGAACAATTTGCTACACCAGTTTGAACATTTAAACCAACCCGTTGTATTAAGAACTGCTGCCCTTTCACCTTTTGAAATTTTATAATGTTATTTTTATAATTGTAAAACCTTTTTATTCTTAAATTAATTTTGATTTTAATGTTCATTTTATGGATTACATTGTACATTACCCAGAGCCCCTCTCTGGGTGGGAGGAAAAATACAAAAAAGAAAGGAAGGAAGGGAGGGAGGGAGGGAGGGAGGGAGGGAGGAAGGAAGGAAGGAAGGAAGATCATTTTCAAGG